CCTCTGTCCAGAGTCGCGGGTCAGCTTACGCTGCATCGGGCGCGCCGCCACTGCCTGCTCCTCCAGGGAGCGCGCAATCTGCGAGTGAGGACTGGGGCACCTACCCGAACCGACGACCCTCGAACGCGTCCTCGGGCTACTATTCCTCGAGCGCCTCGCATGCTCCACTCCCGTCGCCCCCGGGATACGATACTGGCTACGGCTCCCAGCGCGGCGACAGGTATGCCTCCATGTCTGGCAACGCCCTCCCACCCACGCCCGAGGTCCCTACACATGGTTCGCCGCAACGGACCAACACGGTGTCATCGCGACCGCTACCCCCACCACCGCCCCACGAGTCCGACAGCGACGAATACTTCGCGCCGCAGCAGAACGGGTATCAAGACGAACTATTCAACGACGTTATGAACATGACATCTGGCGGCGCCCAGGTACAACAGCCAAACGGTCAATACTACAGCGAGTCTGCAGGAAGAAACGGCACGAATGGCGCAGTTGCTGGACGCGACACCTACCTTAGTGACGAGAGCGACGTAGAGGCAGCTGCTGGTCTAGCTGCGCTTCAGATGGCTGAGGAACAAGAAAGAGAAGACGAAGCTCGTAGAGCTAGTGGTGGCACCGGGCTCTTCAGCAACTACACGTCGGTACATTCCCCGCAGATGCCTGCTGAGCCGATGCGACAGGAAAGTGCCAGCGATAGTGACTATGTGGGCATGGACGTGGGTACCTATGGCGGCGGATTTGCACCATCTTTCAACTATGGTGGAGACCCAAGCGTACTGGCAGCGGGTGGAAGTCACACAGCGTCTACCTCAGGCTCTCAGCGACGATCCGACCCTATGCACGACGACTACGACCCGATCCATCCCTTCCCGTCCTTCTCGAGCAACGCGCGAGTCGACACGTTCGGTACCGGTGGTCTGGAAGAGCCTAGCGCACGGCGGCGGAGCTACGACGAGGGCGATGAGGTCACACTCATGGATAGCGCATCTGCCCTGTCCGGTTCGACACTCAATGGCCCTTCAGCAGTAATGCCGGGCGAGCCACCGGATATGTTCTATCACCCGGGCATTTCAAACCGGCCACTGCCCCCACCTCCAGTGAACACCGGCAGCCGGCGAATGAATCACCAAAGCAACAGCTCCACCGGATCTGGATCCTACGAATACTGGCGTAACGCCCCCGCTGCGCAGCGTTCGTACCCGGTGGATGCGAACGCTATGCACATGATCTCTCCCACCGGGGCCCCTGTGCCTCGCTCAACCTCTCTACTCCAGCACAGCAATGCCCGAGATGCCATTCCCTTGCCTCGTTCCAAGACAGACGCTGAACAGGGGCACAGACCTCGACCTCCTCCCGGCAACCGGAATACCTTCTATGGCGGTGCCATGGACAGCGACGGCAACACCCTCACCCCTGGCAGCGCAGAAGCTGTAGCTATCGACCTACCCACGATTCCAGCCGGCAAGCGCTTCAATCCCGCAAAGCTTTCCAGCATCGACTTCAAGAAATGCACTGAGCCTTGGGCACTGAGCTCGATCATCTCCTGGCTGAAGAACATGACCGAAGGCGAGAACGACCTTAAGGAGGGTCCGATTCAAGAAGGCCTTATTGCGCTATTCACCCACAAAGTTCCAACTATGAATATTGCGGATGCTGAGACACTGAGTAGTCGGGTAGTGGCTGAGATGTACAAAGCAGGCACGCTTGTGCACGAGGAAGAATGGTTGAGATTCTCGACCGCGAGCATGACGGGAGTAATATTCCAGCTTACAGGCGCCGGATGCTACGCCCCCATGCTGCATACACATGCAAGCCCGGGTCGGTGTTATTCGCACCATTGCCAACGCACACTCAAGAAGATTGACCTGCACGCTCCGTCCGCCGCACCTCGATCAGAAGACTGGGCTACCTTCTACAAGCTGAAGAAAGAAGACATTGAAGGAGCAAACAAGAAGGAGATTGAACGTCAAAACATCCTGCACGAGATTGTTCAAGGAGAAGACAAGTACATGAACCGACTGGACGTATTACGGCACCTCTATCGGGACCGGCTTCAATCAGCCCAGCCTCCAGTCATACCTCCTAAGAAAGTCGACAGATTCATCCGCGACGTGTTCAGCAAGGTGGACGCAGTACGGAAAGCGAACGAAGACCATCTCCTTCCACAGATCAAGTACAGACAGCAAGAGCAAGGTCCATGGATTGTAGGCTTCAGTGATATCTTCCGAGAATGGATCCGCAAAGCAAAGCAGGCCTACATCGAGTACGCCGCGGCTTTCCCGTACGCATCCTTCCTTGTTCGACAGGAAGCTGACCGGAACATACTGTTCCGCACCTTCCTGGACGACGCTCAAAAGCACAAGCTATCAGAGAAGCTGGGGTGGGATACCTATCTCAAAGGCCCTATCGACAGATTGCAGCGCTATGGTCTTCTCATAGACACAGTCATCAAGTACTCAACTGTGGACAACGAGGAGAAACGAAATCTCCAGGTTGCTAAAGAAGAGATCAAAGCTGTGACGCTAGAGTGCGACAGCCGTGTCGCTGAAATGAGTCGGAAGGTCAGTCTCACCGACTTGCAAGCAAAACTCATCTTGCGGCCGGGTATGCAGCGAGTGGAGCTCAATTTGGATCACCTGGGCAGAGAGCTCATCTTCCGAGGCGACTTGCAAAGGATGGGAGGCAGTCGTTTCAACTGGCTTGAGACCCACGCATTGCTCTTCGATCATTACCTTGTACTCGCCAAGGCAGTCTCTTTCCGAGAAGCAGACGGTGTTACCAAGTCTGAGAAGTACGATGTGTCAAGATTGCCAATTCCCATGGATCTTCTTGTTCTCGAGAGCGAAGACGACGATCCCGTTGTGCGCTCTACCATGAAGGGTATCTCAACCGTCACTACCGTTTCTGGTCGGGTTGGTTCTGGGGCCGCTACAAGATTGAACAACAGCCCTGTACCCGGCGGTCTGTCACACACAAGCACCTCAAACTCGCTCGGGTCGACCAACACGAGCAACTCCGGCAAGACCATGGTCAACACCACCTCGAATGATGCCTCAAAGGATGAAAAGATTCTGTACCCCTTCCGCGTAAAGCACTTGGGCAAGGAGACCTACACGCTATATGCGCCATCGGCAACAAATCGTGCCGAGTGGTGCGACAAGCTCATCATTGCGAAGACGCGACACGCAGCAGCTCTCTTTGCTCAAAACGCCGAACCGTTCAAGTTGAGAGTCATGGCTGATGCAGCCTTCGCTTATGATAGCGCGATGCCTTCACAGAAAGCTATCACAATCAAGGGAACGCCACTGGACCGCGCAGTCGACGAGGTGGAGAAGCTTTTCGTCAACGTTGGGCGGCCTGTCCCCATCTGCCGCGCACGGGTAAACTGTGCAACAGCTTTCAGCCAGCCCTACGGCAAGCACATGGTAGCCGTCGGTACAGATATTGGAGTTTACGTGTCGGAGTTTGATAATCCTCGAGGCTGGTCTAAGGTATGCAACACACCCATAGTCGTATGATTTGATGCTAACAGTCATAGGCAATTCAAGTACCACGCGTGACGCAGATTGCCGTCCTTGAACAGTTCAGCTTGATGCTCCTCATCTCCGACAAGGCACTCATTGCGTACCATCTCGATGCCGTGTGCCCAGTGAGTGGCGTAGCCCCCTCAAACGACTCAACACGACGAGCACCCCAAAAGCTATCGGGTGCACGCGACATTGGCTTCTTCGCCACTGGCGTGATGAAAGATAGAACGCTAGTGTTTTACAAGAAGCGTGACGGTATCTCATCCACCTTCAAGGTGCTTGAGCCTGTTTACCAGAAATCATCCGAGAAGAAGTCCAGAATATGGAAGTCTGGACGCACAGAATTCTTCCGCGAGTACGACGAGTTCTACATCCCAGCAGAGTGCTACACGATCAATCTCTTCCACTCGTCGCTGGCAATCTCCACCGCAAAGGGCTTCGAAGTGCTTACCCTCGACAAGAAGCAGCCATGGTCCGTACCCGATCTAAAGCAATCGCACGTGGCCACCATCGCTTCACGTCTTCAAAACCAGGACCCACTGGGCATGTTCCGCCTCTCGGATCAAGAGTTCCTGCTCTGCTACGAAGAGTGCGCCGTATACATCAACAAGAACGGTGACATTTCTCGATCTGTAATCATGGAATTTGTCGGCAAAGCCAAGTCTGCCGCTATGTATGGTCCTTACGTGCTTTTGTTCGACCCCGACTTTGTCGAGATCAGAAATGCGCAAAACGGTCGTCTGCGCCAGGTCATTGCTGGACGCGATGTCAAGTGCCTCGACGACGGGCTCAGCGGAGGTTCAAGTCACAACAGGACAGTCAAGCTGAGCTTACAACATCCGCAGCATGAGAGGAGTCAGGTGGTAGTTGAGCTTGTGCTCAATGAGGGACAAAAGGAGTAAGGCAAATATACACGGATGGACCCTGGATGGCCTGCTGTGCAATACCATCTTCCCGACCATACTACGCTACATCTACAGCAAGCGGGCGGAGTTATGGAGTCAGGAACCCGGGGCTGGGTATACCCACCGCTGCAATACCCGTTGCGACAAAGCTTGGGCGATTGGCGCTCTTTCTTGCATATTCTTAGGCTCTTGGTTCACGTTCGCGTAAGGATACCTGGTTTGATTTGTTTGGTGTTTTGGTTCACTTAGGCGGCTAGTCGTGCATGTGCTGCTTGGTGTTGGTGTTCATGTTCGAAATCACGGTCGAACTCATGTAGTTGAAATGCGGTAATCCATCACACTCCACAAGCTATCGATTGTTAGACGTGTTTGATCTCTCTCTTTTCATATCCAACACTTGCCCAGCTACTCCTACCAGAATTGATATACCTCCGCAGCCTCAAACACGAATCCAATGCCTCTCCCGCTGTTCCCACCCCGGTGTGGGTATTTCAAGATGATCATCAGGGACGGCATCTTTGCAGCGCTCCATCAGCCCCATCCACCACACTTCAAACACGTCACCCTAAGTCGCGCCTGCCCATGTCGTCTGGACCATGAGTTGCACCATACCCCAATAGTGAATGTCGAAGTCCTGGCAGCGCCGCGAGACCTCGGCCCACCAACCCTCAAACACCATGTCGAGATTCTCGCGCGTCCAGTCCATGGCTAGATCAAACTCGGCGTTCGTGTCTCGTCGTATCTTGTGCCGCAGCCTACATAGGTTGACGCACGAAATCAGTGTATGTCTCGCAAGCATTTCGAGCCGGGGCTTACCTCTTCTAGAGAGCATCTGCCCGCTGCATACAGGTCTTGATGACGTCCAGGTGGTCCAGAGCAAGGGCTAGTATGACCCAAGAGAGCATCTCTTGGTACAAGGGTCTGCCATTGCTCTCGATGAGGTTTTTGGCTTTGTTGATGGCTGGGTAAAGCTCGCCGGCCTCGAAGAGGTCTGCGATTTCGTTGTAGTCCGCTGTAAAGCCGGGGTTGGTGAGGCTTGGTCCACGCATAGCGATGGAGGTGGATAGTGATGTTTGTTGTGATGGTGAGATGCGGAAGGCTGAGTGAATGTGGTGGGTATGGTGCGTGGCTGCCAGTGCTGTCGTGGACGAGCGCGCGTTTGTTTGCGGCATGACGCAAGTTTGCAGTTAAGTGAGGAAGGAAGGTACACGTGTGCGCTTCCACCTAAATGATGTTCTAACTTCGTGAGTCTTCGTTGTTGTACTGATGCATTTAGCAGTACACATATCTAGCTTTTTCTTCCTACGAGACTCCAAGTCCATGTCTGAACCCAGTTCGGATCAAACGGATTATGGCCGTTCGTCGACCAGCAAGACGATGCCAACGATTCTGACAAGCATACTGGATGTGCAAGAAGATGAGAAGATGGCTTCGACTTTGCAGCCAGGCTCGTTCATCCGTGTTCGCACTGCCAAGGCTTCAAAGAAGTCTCAGCGGTCCAGCTCAGTGTAGTAGCGTGCTAGACGTCTATAAGAGCGTGTTCTGAGCGATGGTGAGCTTTATGGCTTCCGTTTGATAGCTCTACGTTGCAAGTGTACCAACGGTGTCCTTGAAAATGATCTCACGTCTCTTCTTGTTCGGCCGGTCTCGCTCTTTCTCCATCTCTCAAGCTCTCTAACACTCTTCTCTTCGATCAAGTACGGCAGAATGGCCGGCATTGTTACTGAAACGCATGTTGTTTGGGTCACCGTTACTGCGCCAATGGCACCACCTTCGTGGCTTCTCAATCCAGAACAGCGCACGTCAACGACGGAATCCAGTACATTTTACTCGTGTGCTCCCGATGTACCTGAAACACCTGAAACCTCGAAGTCGGGAATTGCAGTGTACATTACAGCCGCGGTAGGGACTGTATTTGCTGTCTTGATGTTCGCATCCTTGATGGCATATCTGAGGAGATCGAGGATGGATGGAAGAAGAATAAGACATGGGAATTAAGTGCTAAGCACGAGATACCGAAAGGGAAACTTGCTTGATCGTATATCATAATCGAACGAAGAATATTCGAGAACACGACCACACTCACCGTATCACTGCTACACAGTAGAAGCTCGTACAAATGTACTGTTTCTAAGGCTGGAATCTGTACTGCTTGACCAGAAGTGCAGTTCTCATTGTTTCTTCAAATGCGAGGCGTTCTTGTATGCGAAGTCACATATCTGCCGTTGCAAGGCACCCCAGGACCTTTCCATTTATTTCGCGCATTTTCGACTAAACCGATGCTGACAAGATTACCAAGTGCTTGGATATGGACAAATGTCGCCGTCAAACATGGAGGTCGGCACAATTATCGGCCAGAGCGGTCCAAAGAATCCTTTGGATGTTGGCCAAGTAGATAACGAGCATCGAGTGGCCCTCACGATCGCCAATGCAGCGTCGGGTCGTCATCTTGGGGTCTTCCAGAAGCATGGTGCTTAGCGCCAGGGTTTTCCAGGTCTGATGATGGTGCATCCACTAACAGAACTAGAGAGCCCGGGATGGCCATTTCGTTAGTGATTCCATCGCACAACAGCAGAACTGGGTGCTCCGGTTTTGATAGCGGTTATCGCTATGGGGATGTCGATCTGTCCGAAGCGTATCGGATGTGGAGAGTGTTTAGTATTTTCGTTCTTGGTGTGGAGCAGCTGAGCACGCGATATGTAATGCGAATTAAAGGCGGATGTCGTAAGAACGGCAATCAGCAGTAGGCCTTTGTGCGGCGATGGTGACGGCCTAGCTGTGTCGGGGAAGGGACGACACCGTCAGGCGCGTCAACTCCTGCCACCCGAACGAGGTGCCGGCCCGTGCACGCGCCGCCTAATGCGGGGGCAAAACCGCCGCGGCTGAACAGGTCCTCACGCAGCAATCAACTCAGCTGCCTCGTGATGCGACGCTCGCAATACCGCCTCGTACAAGACGCATCTTCGTCAGGCAGACGCCTCGCCCCAAATAATAGGGCAGAATTCCTTCGCGACTCGTAGCGGCAGGCAGCCGGGTGGCCGTTCGCTTTTTATCGGTTCCCACAAACGTCAAATATCACCTTATCATGCTAGGAGCGAATTAAGGATAGGCAAGAAACTTGGCTCAGCATGCCATGGCCACCGCCAAGACACACAGAGCAGGGTCCGTCCCACCAGTCCAACTGCATCAAGAAGGAGATATACGCGGAGACGACAGACGCGCCAGCATGGCTCGCTGGACCGGGCGATTGGCGCTGCGCTCAAGACGCTCTAGAAGGCACAAGTCGTCAATATTGGTTGGATCTGGCGGTGCCCGTTCCACACCATTCTTTCACTGCGGTCCTCTTTGCTTGGCCGTCTTGGGTTACTTCGCCCGCCGCGACAAGCCTTCCAACGGGTAGCTCGTTATCAGCACCGTTCCGTGGGACCACTATCTCGCCCTCCCCGCAGCCTCGGTCGTATAACAACCGGTGTACCCTGCTGCTTCAGCCGCTCAAGGCTTTCCGCTGCCTCACCAGTATTTGACGTACCAGCTGTCGATACAGTTGCTTTTCCTCGATTCCTCTAGGTTCGAGTTGCTTCACGTTTTCGGGCTTGCTTCCCGCGACCACCGCTTACACTTACCCGTGTGCGGCTCTTCTCAACACGCGCCATAGAGTACTAGTCTACCTGACTGTACACACCACACTTTATTCAAAATGGCCATCTGGAACCGCAAGTCGAGTTCCTCGGACGGCGCAAGTCCTCACGCTTCTGATCCTGAGTATGGCACCAAGCCTGAGTACCAGCACGAGACGGGAGAGGTCTCCGCTGTCGACAGCAATGGCGTTGCTGTCCACTCCGACCACGCGCATCTGCACCGTGGTCTGAAGTCGCGCCACATTACTATGATTGCCATCGGAGGAGCCATTGGAACTGGTCTCATTATCGGTACTGGTAAAGCGCTGGCACAGTCTGGGTAAGTGGCGTGAATCTGGCGACTTTTCATCATCACTAATAACAACAGCCCTGGTTCAATTCTCATCGCCTACACCTCCGTCGGTCTCATCGTCTACGTCGTCATGACTGCTCTCGGCGAAATGGCCGCTTGGATTCCTCACGCGTCTGGTTTCGCTGGCTATGCTACCCGTTTCTGCGACCCTGCTCTCGGTTTTGCTCTTGGTTGGACTTATTGGTGCAAGTACATCATCACGACGCCGAACCAGCTCACTGCAACCGCTTTGATTCTTTCGGAATGGAAATCTAGAGATGAAGTCAATCCCGGAGTCTGGATTGCAATCTTCCTGGTCGCCATTATCTGTATCAATTACTTCGGTATCAAGTTCTTCGGTGAACTTGAGTTCTGGCTGAGTTCTATCAAAGTCATCACGATTGTAAGTCTCAAGCGCTTTTCGATGCAAAACAATACTGACTAGTGAAAAGGTTGGTGTCATCTTCCTCTCGTTCCTTCTTGCTGTCGGCGCTGGGCCTGGTCCGGCAACTGGCTTCAAGTACTACAATGACCCCGGTGCGTTCAAGCCGTTCATCGCTGGTGGCTCTGCTGGTAAATTTTACGGATTCTGGAGCTCCTTGGTCAACGCCGTCTTCGCCTACCTCGGTACTGAACTTATCGGTGTTACCGTTGGAGAAGCCCAGAACCCGCGCAAGACCATCCCTCGCGCCATTAAGCTTACCTTCTACCGGATCTTGTTCTTCTACTGCTTGTCAGTGTTTTTCCTGGGCATGATCGTTCCCTACAATTCCCCGGAGTTGGCGTTCGCAAACAAGGCTACCACCGGTGCTTCCGCTTCGCCTTTCGTCGTCGCCATCAAGCTTGCGAAGATCCCCTATTTACCCACGATCGTCAACGCCTGCATCTTGCTCTTCACCTTCAGTGCTTCCAACTCGGATCTTTACATCGCCTCCCGCACGATCTACGGTCTTGCTGTCGAAGGCCATGCCCCGAAGATCTTCCTCTGGACTGATAAGCGTGGTGTGCCCGTACCTGCTTTGGCCATCTCCGCTCTTTTCTGCTGCACTGCTTTCATGAACGCCGCAGATGACGCCAAGGTGGTTTTCGGTTACTTTGTCAATCTCACCACCATTTTCGGACTGTTGTCTTGGATCTCGCTTTTGGTGTCGCACATCTGGTTTGTTCGCGCGCGTCGCGCTCAAGGCATCACCAAGGACATGATGGCGTACACTGCTCCGTTTGGTCTTATCGGATCTTACATTGCGCTGTTCTTCTGCATCCTCATCGCGTTGACGAAGAACTTCAGTGTCTTCACCAAGGATCCGAAATATGGCACTTTCGACTACAAGAACTTTGTTACTGGATACCTCGTAAGTCACTCGAATCGTTCATATGCAAATAGCATGCTAACAAACGTTCCAGGGTATTCCGGTCTACCTGATCTGCATCTTCGGTTACAAATTCATCATGAAGTCCAAGATGGTCAAGCCCCACGAAGCCGATTTCTACAGTGGCAAAGCCGAGATCGACCGCGAAGAGGAGGCATTCCTCGCCCATGCAGCAGAGAAGAAAGCCACCGAGGGCAAGGGTGGCAGCTGGTTCTACCGAACCTTCATTGCATGGTTGATCTAGATTCAGTTAGCGACTATATCCGTTCGTTTGGTTTACTGGATGCCATTGCTGTGTATGCGCCGCAGAAGGTGTTGGTGGTGACCTCACCTAACACCAAGAACGGCACGATATTCTCTGAAAATAAATATTGGATTCTTAAAGTTCATTGCCACTCATATCTTGGTCGTCAGCTTCCTTGTCAAACTGATCTGAATGCTGCTTTCATCCGTGACTTAATGCAGTTACACCCTCGCACGGCATGGACGATCTCTAACTTGACAACCTAGTCAGCAAACCGTATGACTACTCATCTTCAAAACTAGATGTATCACCCACATTAGTGTACTCCACAGTGGGTATACACATGCCAAGACACGTCACGTTACCCATCTTGGCTGCCATCCTACACCAACACTCCCAACCTACGACAACAACGTCGCATTAGACTCATATTTAAGCTTAAACGCCAGTGCGGATCACAAATCCT